TGAAATGCTGAAAGGTATCCTTAGAAGAGAAGAAGAAGAAAAAGTAAAGATACAAATTATGACACAAATACACATCTATCACAAGTGAATCTAAAAATCAAGTGAATAAATAATCTGATGAACTGGTGATTGTAATAGAACCAGGGACATAGAAAGGGAATGGACTGACTATTCTTGGGCGGGGGGAGAAAGGGGTGTGGGGGTGAGTGAAGAGATTAGACAACAATCGTGCACCTATGGATGAGGACAGTGGGTGGGGAGTGAGGGCAGAGGGTGGGGTTGGAACTGGGTGGAGGGGAGTTATGGTGGGAAAAAAGAGTAACTAATGTAATAATCTGAACAATAAAGATTTAATTAAAAAAAAAAAGAAAAAAAAATCCCTATTTTTTTAAAAACAATTCCTTTACGACTTGTTTATCAACATCAAAAAATCCCAAACAACCCAATTTAGAAATGGCCAACAGACATATGAACAGATGCTCAACATCACTAATCATCAGAGAAATGCAAATCAAAACTACAATGAGATATCACCTCACACCTGTCAGAATGGCTATTATTAAAAAGTCAACAAATAACAAGTGTTGGTGAGGATGTGGAGAAAAAGGAATCCTCCTGCACTGTTGTATAGAAAACAGTATGGAGATCCCTCAAAATATTAAAAACTGAACTACCGTAAGACCCAGAGATTCCACTTCTGGGTATTTATACGAAGAAAAGTAAAAAAACTAATTTGAAAAGACGTATGCGCCCCTATGTTCACGGCAGTATTATTTACAACTAGAGGCCCAGTGCACGACATTCGTGCACTGGGGGGTGGAGGGATGTCCCTCAGCCCAGCCTGCGCCTTCTCGCAGTCCGGGACCCCCTCGAGGGATGTCCGGGGCGCTCGCAGTCCGGGACCCCTCGCTCCTTACTGCCCACCTGCAGCGGAGGTGTGAGAGGCTCCCACCACCACCACTGCGCTCGCCAGCCGTGAGCCTGGCTTCTGGCTGAGCGGTGCTCCCCCTGTGGGAGCACATTGACCACCAGGGGGTAGCTCCTGCGTTGAGTGTCTGCCCCTTGATGGTCAGTGCACATCATAGTGGCCAGTCGTTCCACCATTTGGTAG